GCAGGCATGACGCACATCGTCCGAGAGGTGGACCGACCTGGCTCCAAGCTGCATAAGAAGGAGCCGCTTTGAAGGCAGAGTGCAGGGTTTAGGGTTTAGGGTTTAGGGTTTAGGGTTTAGGGTTTAGGGTTTAGGGTTGGGGGTTGAGGGGTGAGGGGTGAGGGGTTGAGGGTTGAATGTGTCTGTTAGCTTGGCTCTCTGTAGCTCTCTACTAGGTTTACAGTACTCGGCTTCTTCATAAGGGAGCTACAGGGTTACATGATTTGTGCAAAGTGCCCAAGTGCAGGAAAGGCCTTAGGACTTAGAGGACGTTCCCTCTTATACTAACAGTCCTCAATACGGATTATAGTACCCTTAGTTACAATCCCTTTTAAGGAGCTGTTCGTAAAAAGGGGGAACATCCAAACCTTAACCCCAAGCAAACTCTTCAATTAAACACTAAACCGGAGCGGTTTAGTGTTCAGCGCTGAACCCCTAAACCCTAAATCCTAATAAATCCTAACCCCTAAACCCTAAACCCTAAACCTTAAACCCTAAACCCTAAACCCTAAACCTTACACCCAGCAGCCGGTCTACAGCCCTCGGGCCAAGGATCGTCGAGCCCGTGACGGTGCTGGAGAGCCCGCCCATGATCGTCGTCGGCTTTGTCGGCTATGTGGGGAACTGAGCCGAGGGTGCTGGTGGGGTTTAGGGTTTAGGGTTTATTGGAATCATTAAGGGTTCAGGTCCGGGGAAGTTTCGAGGAAAGTTTCGTTTTTTTTTTTTTTTTTTTAATTTTCTTAATAATTTCAAGGTACAGGGGGCTTGAGGGTTTAGGGTTTAGGGTTTAGGGTTGAGGGTCTAGTGTTACATATCCAAAGAGTACCATAGAAAGTAGCAAGCGATACAGGCTCGATTGTATAGTTCAGGGTTTAGGTTCCTTGGGGACTGGCAGCCGTGAACCCTGATGCCTCAAGGCTGCACTGAAATTCTCCATGTGACGAGCTTAGGCTGCGGAGTCGAACGACCGATTTAGGGTAGTCATAACCCTACTCAGAGGCACACATGAAGCCACAAGTACACCCTGAACCCTAAACCCTAAACCCTAAACCCTAAACCCTAAGCTCTCACAAACAAGCCAAGGATCTTCGGGGACCATACTGTAACCCTAGGGTGCTCTGGGGTTTGGGGATGCAAAAATTAGGTTCCCGGGATATTTTGGGATTTAGGAATGCAGGGCTTGGGACTAGGGTCTAGGTTCTAGGGTTTAGGGCTTAGGGTTTAGGGTCTAGTAAGCCTGTTGATATTCTTGGTTGTAAAATGACAAGAACCCCAAACCCTAACACCCTAACACCCAGAACCCTAAACCCCAAACCCCAAACCCTAAAACCTAAACCCTAAAACCCTAAAACCCTAAACCCTAAAACCCTAAAACCCGAAACCCGTAGGGTCACCAGCTCGTTGCGTCTTGCCACTGAGGTGGAGACCCCTCGGGGCCTCCGGGCACTGAACTCCGTGTGGGCCGGACACCTGTCTGAGGAGTGCAAGAGGCCAGGGTTTAGGGTTTAGGGCTTAGGGCTTAGGGATAAGAGTGTGGCGGTTTCAGTTTTCGGGTTTAGGGTAGTTTGGGGGCTTCGGGTTTTTCGCGTTTTAGGGGGGCTTCAGGGTTTTGGGTTTCGGGTTTAGAGTAGTTTGGGGGTTTGGGGTTTCAGAGGGGCGAGGGGGGGGGGGGGGGGGTGGGTCGGGGGGTAGGGATGGCTTCGTTGCTCCCAAAAAAGGGTGCCCTGATTATGGTACGGTTCCTGGGCTACTAAGGTGTAGAGGTGGTTGGTAGCAGCTCATCGTGGTTGTAGGGTTCAGGGTTGAGGCTTCAGAGTTTAGTGAGCTTAGGGTTCGTTGTTGGTTTCCAGGGTTTTCGGCCTAAGATGAAGGGAGTTTATGGCTTAGAGGCTTCGCCACTATGTTGCGCTTAGAACCAAGAACGCCAGCTGAAGGGACGCCCATGGAGCAGGTCTTCTCAGTGGAAATGTCTAGCCTCAGTACGCCCTGCAACCCCTCAGAACCGAGCAAATCCCTCAAAGATTCTAACAATGGCCAGTTCTACCCTAAACCCTAAACTTGGGTTCGGCCGGTCCACACTAACAGTCAAATAACGCCGTGGCCTTATAACACACAGGCCAAAAATAGCACCAGGAATCCCAGTCAATTTTAGCATTTACCGGGTGCTTATTTTTGTGGGTCTGCTGGTGGTGACTGTTAGTCACATAGCAGCAGAAATAGCACCAGAAATAGCACAAACAATAGCACAAACAATAGCACAAAAAATAGCACCAGAAATAGCACAAAAAATAGCACCAGAAATAGCACAAACAATAGCACCAGAAATAGCACCAGGAATCCCAGTCAATTTTATCAGCTTAGCATTTACCGGGTGCTGTTTTTTGTGGGTCTGCTGATGGTGATTGTGAGTCACATAGCACCAGCAACAGCACCAGAAATAGCACCAGAAATAGCACAAACAATAGCACAAAAAATAGCACCAGAAATAGCACAAACAATAGCACAAAAAATAGCACCAGAAATAGCACCAGGAATAGCACAAAAAAATGCACCAGAAATAGCACCAGAAATAGCACCAGGAATAGCAGGAATCTCAGTCAATGTTTTGGCATTTACCGGGTGCTTTTATTTGTGGGTCTGTTGGTGGTGACTGTTAGTGTGGACCGGCCGAACCCAACCCTAAACCCTAAAACCCTGTTGTGTTTTTTTTTTTTTTTTCCGGTTTTTTTGTTTTTGGTGCGTTGGGAGGGGGGAGGGGCGCCCTCGGCCCTTTAGAGTTTAGGGTTTAGGGTTTACGGTTTAGGGCTTAGGGTGTAGGGTAAACTCCTCGAGGCGCTTCTACAAGACCTGGCACACGTCGAAGCAGAAGGCCTTCACCAAGTATCAGAAGCGCCACTTGGCCGAAAAGACATCCTGTGAGTGTTTTGGGCCCAGGGTTCCTAGGGGAAAGGGTTCTAGGGTTTAGGGTTTAGGGTCCTACACTCTATTTGGAAGCCCTTTTGACTCAGTAAAGGGTTTAGGGTTTAGGGTTGAGGGTTGAGGGTTGAGGGTTGAGGGTTGAGGGTTGAGGGTTGAGGGTTGAGGGTTGAGGGTTGAGGGTTGAGGGTTGAGGTGAGGGTTGAGGGTTGAGGGTTGAGGGTTTAGGGTTTAGGGTTTAGGGTTTGGGGTTTAGGGTTTAGGGTAGGGTTTGGGGTTCAGGACGTCCATTCATTGGGCCGAACAGCGGCCCTGCAATCGGGGTTGCTCAGCTGTATGTTGAGCAAATTGAATATGTAAGCCCGAACCCCCCCCCCCCCCCTCAATCCCTTTTCCACCAAAATCACTCAACCCGAAGCCCTGCCGCACAAAGAGCCCAAAACCCTACATCCCTAAACCCTAAACCCAAGTCTTAACTGGAGCACTAAGTGGGCTGCTTTAGGGCCTAGGCTCTTGCCAGTGTAGGGTTTAGGGGTTTAGGTTGGGATCTCCCCCCTTTTGCTACCCCCATTATAATCCCGATTAAGGGTTAGTTTGAGGGAGAACATCCCAAATTTTAACTAGCGACACCAGAACCTGCATGAAATCCCATACCGAAGCCCCTCTCAACCCTGAACAGGGGGATACCTTATTGGGGTCGTTGTAGAGGAATCCCATTATTTGGGGATCTATTTTCAGGGTCCCGTATTTTCGTAATCTCCCTTTTGGCGACTCCAAACCCCGAAGAAGAAGGACTAGGAGGTTCATATGGGTGCTGCTAAGTAGGGTTATAGGTTTAGGGTTTAGGATTTAGGATGTTCCGCCTTACACTAACAATCCTTACTAGGGATTATAGCACCCCCCCCCCCCCTACTATGTAATTGCTAGCATAAGGGGGAACATTTCGAGGTAAGGTAATTATGGCAATGACCTTGTTAGGGCTTCCAGTGGCTTCGATCATTTGGGGACGGGGGGTGGGGGGGGGGGGTTGGTGCGTAGGGCTTAGGGCTTAGGGCTTAGGGTTTAGGGTTTAGGGTCTAGGGTCTAGGGTTTAGGGTTTAGGGTTGAGGGTTTAGGGTATGACCCCCAACAAAAGAACTGACCTTAGAAGCCCTGGCTGAATAAGTCTAACCGACACGTTTGCTGAAACCGTCAACCCTGAAATCTAAGAACTGACTAAACCCTAAACGGACCACAAACCCCCTCCAAACCCTTACACCCCTGAACCCTCAACCCCAAACACCAAACCCCAAACCCCAAACCCCAAACCCCAAACCCCAAACCCTAAACCCTAAACCCTAAACCCTAAACCCCAAACCCCAAACCCTAAACCCTAAACCCTAAGCCTCCAGGCTGGGAAGAGGCATCCAAGGACGGCAATGAGGCAATGAGCGCTGAGGCGTTCAGACCCCAAGCCCTACACTCTATTTGGAAGCCCTTTTGACTCAGTAAAGGGCTTAGGGTTTGGGGTTTGGGGTTTGGGGTTTGGGGTTTAGGGTTGGGGTTAGTAAGTTGGGTTATGGGGATTCTTGTAGGGTTTCTAGGGACACTAAGTAGACTTGCTAAGTCGAAAAGGGCTTCCAAGCAAACCCTAAACCTTAGGGCTCTTGAGCACTAAGCCCTTACCTCCCGACAGGTGGAGCGCGCCAAGAAGTACTGCCAGGCCGTTCGGCTTTGACTATGGAGCCTGTGTGGGTTTAGGGTTTAGGGGTTTAGAATTTAGGGTTTAGGGTTTAGGGTTTAGGGGTTAGGATTTAGGGTTTAGGGTTTAGGGTTTCGGGCTAATACCTCAGGGTTTAGGTTGGGTTGAAGAGCGTTTCCGTCTACGTAAGCTTCTTTGTTTTCCTGTTGGGGATGTGGTGTGGGGGTTAGAGTCTAAAGCGCGTTGTTAGGATTCGCGGGTTGCCCTAAACCGTAAACCTCTGTTTCTGTTGTGTTAAATTTACCACGGGGCCATGTTCTACTCGAAAGGACAGCATCATGTAGGGAACTCACGCTGTAAGCCCCAGCAGCTCCTAAAGCCTGAAAGCCCTAAACCCTACACCCTAAAAGAAGATTCAGCCCTGAAGGCCCGCGGTCAAGGGTTCAGGGTTCAGGGTTTAGGGTTTAGGGTTTAGGTTTTAGGGTTTAGGGTTTAGGGTTTAGGGCCAGGCAGGAATATGGGTAGTTCTCTCTAGAACGGGTTCCCTTTCTGGGTCCTGTTTCTGCTGTTTCTAGCACCCAAAAAACGAGCCCAAAGGGAACCCTAATTTCGAGAACTACCCACATACTCTAAAGAGACCACAACCTCAGTAACCCTAACTTTACCCCCCCACCCCCCCTCCCAACCATCCCAACCCGCCGCCGCTCCCCACCCCAGGTGATCCGCGCCATCTGCCACACGCAGGTGGGCAAAGTGAGGATCGGCCCTCCTGGCTGAAATTAGGAGGTTTTGTTTGTTTAAGCCCTAAACCCTAAACCCTAAACCCTAAACCCTAAACCCTAAACTCTGTAAACTCCAAAACCTAAATCCAGGGAGGAGCAACCAAGGCTTTTTCGCTGGTTTAGGCAAAGTTCTTGGACCCTGATTCCGGGATCCCTAAACCCTAAACCCTAAACCCTAAACCCTAAACCCTAAACCCTAAACCCTAAACCCTAAACTCTAGGTCAGAAGAAGGCCCACATCAAGGAGGTTCAGGCCGGCTGGGGCATCTTGTTGTTGATGACTTCTGCCACCTCAGTCTTTAATGCGGTTCAGGGCTTAAGGCACTGATCATCAGAGTTTAGGGTTTAGGGTTAGGGTTTAGGGTTCAGGTTTTAGGGTTTAGGGTTTAGGGTGTATAGGCTGTAAACCCGAAACGCATCTCCCCAGGTGAACGGAGGAAGCACTGCCGACAAGGCGCCGAACTTTTTCCGAGCTTCTCCAATCACCTCTACACACTGAAACCCTGAGGGTTAGGGTAACCTTAGCCCTTATACGCCTGAAGCCCTTACAAACTCCAAACCCTAAACCCTGAACCCTAAACCCCCTAAACCCTAAACCCTAAACCCTAAACTCCTGTAAGTTTCAACCCTGAAATCCGGGAGAGGGTTAGGGGGCTTTCGGGTTGAGGGTTCAGCTCACCGCGGGCTTGCATATGGAGACCCAGGTGGGATGAGGACTCAGGGTTTAGGGTTTAGGGATTCAAGATTTAGGGTTTATCTTCAGGGTCTTAGGTTATTCTCGTGTGGCAGATGTAGGGTTCAAGGTGTGGAGTTTGCGGTTAGGGGCACTATGAATTATCCGTGCTAAGTCGGGGAGGCCGTGACAGAGGCATAGGATGTATGAGTTTAGGATTTAGGGTTCAGGGTTGTCAGGGCTTGAGGATTTAGAGTTAGCTTTGGCTTCGGGTTTTCCATGGTTCAAGGTCTTCGGGTTCACATCGTCTGTATGTCCGAACCATAAACCCTAAACCCTACTTAGAGGTTCATGGGTACATGTGAGTAGCGTCATAGGCGGCCCAAATGAAACCCTCCTTAGTTAGTCTCTTGCTTTCCTAAGGGATCATTTGTATTAGCGTTTACGGTTTATGGAAAATGGAACAGCTAAGACAAGGTGAGTACAATAGATTCGCTCGCTTGGTGTTTAGAACTGTTGACAGGTGAAATCCCCTCAAGTAAGACGCGTGAGCGGACGTTGGAGATGATCTTTGGCAGAAAGTGTTGGCAGTGTATTCCGCGATCACCACGAGCGACACAGCGGTCGGAGTATGCATATTGAACAGCCTTCTGTCTGGGGTATTTCTTCGACCCTAGACCTAAACCCTAAACCCTAAACCCTAAAACCTTAACCCTAAAGGCCCCCCCCCGCCCCCCAAGGCCGGGAACCCAAATCCACAGGTGGACTTTTGCATGGGCCTATTCGAGAAGGAGGCCCCGTATCAGGGTTTAGGGTTTAGGGTTTAGGGTTTAGGGCTTAGGGCTTAGGGGTTAGGGTTTGGGTTTAGGGTTGAGGGTGAAGGGTTTCGGGTTCCCCCCTCCCCCTCCCCCCCCCCCCATACTTAAACCTACCAGTCATGGTATAGCAAGAGAGGGGTATAGGGTTTGGGGTATGTTGTTGTTTTTGAGGTACAGGCCCACCCAAAAGTATGACCTAACAAGAAGCAGTTCAAGGAAATAGTTCGGTTGTAGCTAGGGGGTGTGGTGCTGGGTTCATGACCATGAACTTATCTCTTCCCTGCAGGGTTTAGGATTTCTTGTATCTGTTTCCGTACGGGATTCGTTCTGCTGCACAGTTCGGGGTCCCACGCCTTGCACCAGCCCAACCCAACACTCCCATACTGGAGCCATCCAGCCCTCAGCTTGAAATCACTAAGCCCCAAAGCACCAAAGAACCTCTGGTTCCATTGCACCCTAAACCCTAGACCCTAAACCCTATATCCCTAAACCCTAAGCTACAGCCCCGATCTTGCCACCAATGATGTTGAGGGCATGCCCTATAATCCCTATGAGCCTCAACACTAAATAATCGCAAGCCATTCCCCTCCACCCCCACTTGAGGTCAAGGTTGAGGACGTCTTCAGCCAGGACGAGATGATCGACGTGATCGGTGCCACCAAGGCATCCTGGGTTGTTTGTTCTCGGGGTTGAATCTAGGTTGAATCTGCGTTGAACCTGGATTGAACCTACTGGTAGAGTAGTAGTAGCAGTTGGCGGGCGTGCTCTCTTAAGGTTTACGGTTTGTGGGGCTTAGGCCTTTTCTAGGGTTTTAGGGTTTTCGGGCTTAGGGTTTCAGGGTTCCGGCTTCATGGGGTTCTAGGGTTTCATTGCTTAGGGTTTCAGGGTATTTGGGTTTAGGTTTTAGGACTTAGGGCTAAGGGTTTCGGAATGAGCCTGACGTAGCCTGGGTTTAGGCTTCTGGGTTTAGGGTTTAGAGGGGTTGAGGAGGTTTAGGGGGTTTTAAGGGGTTTAGGGGGTTTAGGGGGTTTAGGGGGTTTAGGGGGTTTCGGGGGTTCAGGGGGTTTAGGGGGTTCAGGGGGTTTAGGGGGTTTAGGGGGGTTTAGGGGGTTGAGTAGGGTTTCTTCGGGTACCCTTTGGAGGGAAGTGCTGGGCAGGATGCGGAGTTTGCGTAGGTCACCTCCAATCGATTAGGGTTTAGGGCCGTAAACCCCTAAAACCCTAAAACCCTGCAACCGTAAAACCCTAAAACCCAAAAAACACCTAAAACCCTAAAGCCCTAAAGCCCTAAAACCCTAAACCCGAAGCAGCCGCTGGCCAGGGTAAAGGCTTCAACGGCGTGGTGACACGCTGGGGCGTTACCCGGTTGGTGCGTAAGTCGCACCGGGGCTTGCGAAAGGCACAGGGGTGGTGGTTAGGGTTTAGGGTTTAGGGTTTAGGGTTTAGGGTTTAGGGTTTAGGGTTTAGGGTTTAGGGTTTAGGGTCTAGGGTCTAGGGTCTAGGGTCTAGGGTCTAGGGTTTAGGGTTTAGGGTTTAGGGTTTAGGGTTTAGGGTTTAGGGTTTAGGGTTTAGGCTTAGGGTTTGGGGTTTAGGGGTTTAAGGGGGTTAGGGGTTTAGGGTTTATGGGTTTAGGGGTTTAAGGGGGGTTCGGGTCTTAGGGCTTATGCCCAGACACTTCAGAATCGTGGGGTTGTCTGGGGTTGGCGAGGTTGCGGTTTTGCGGTTTGGGATTTATTGGTTCAGGGTTTAGGGCTCCAAACCCTAAGCCCGAAACCCTAAACCCTAAACGTAAACCCTAAACCCTAATTAAACCCCAACCCCTGAGCGCTAGGCCCTAATCAAGGACTGCGGATGAACTTGCGTACCCTCATGAGGCATCGGTGGATTCTCTAAACTATGTCTCAGAATTTGGGGTTTAGGGCTCCGTAGTACGGAGCCCGAGATTAAGGCCCCCTCAAAAGGCGACCCATACTTCAGAAAATCCCCCGTTCGGGTCCCCAGACCTTCATAGGTCTTTAGATTAGAATCTCGGGCGGAGGGGGGGGGGGGGGGGGGGGGGGGGGGGGGGGACGCTTTGGGTTTGGGAGGTCTGGGGGGGGAGCAGAGACTCAACAAGCTCATCTTTCTGAGATATTCTGAGGTCCGCTAGGGAGATTGGTCCAGTTTAGGGTTTAGGGTTTAGGGTTTAGGGTTTAGGGTTTAGGCTGTTTCGGAAATCTTGAGAGAAGCTGAGGGAGCACGTGGGGAATGGGGTGTGCAGGACCTGTCGCCCGGCCCTACAGCCCCCGCTCCTTTCCCACCGCCGGTCAGCCAATGAACCTCGAACCTCGCGTTTCAGATGTTGGGGGGTGATCTGCACGCCCCGTGTGCAGCCTCGCACGATGAAAGAGTGGGACCCTAAACCCTAAACCCTAAACCCTAAACCCTAAACCCATTGGGTCTCATGTCTCAGCTACAACTTGATCTTGATCACCCGGTTCGTGACAGTCACACCAAGTGACCCGAGACCGAGACGTGACCCGAGACCGAGACGTGAACGATCGATGTCGCGCTCCCGCTAAACCTAAACCCTCAACCCCTTCAGCCCCAAAACCCCTATAGAGACCCTACTAAGACCCTAAACCCCTAAACCCTGAAAACCCTACAAACTCCTGCAAAAGGGCGCGCCCTAAGACCCTAAATCCTAACAAGCGTAAAACCCTAAACGCATTTCACTCAGAGGCTTGGAATCTACCATTTGCTTAAACGCCCCCTCAGAAAAATCCAAAATGCAACAAGCCCTGTATAAGGAAGAATAATTATCTTTTCTTTGGGGGGGGGTTCTGAATTAAGCAAGACCCTAAACCCTGAGCCCTAAACCCTAAACCCTGGTCCTTAATCAATTCGTAGGAATGGAAGCCTTGGCGAGGTGGCATGCATTGGCTCCTGGCACCCGGCCCGCGTTTCTTTCCAGGCGCGTCTGTCTGGGTTTCAGGCTCAGGGCTTAGGGCTTCGGGTTTAAGGTTTAGGGTTTAGGGTTTAGGGCTTAGGGCTTAGGGCTTCGGGTTTAAGGTTTAGGGTGTCGGGTCCTGGGTTTCGGGTTTAGGGGGAGAAGGCCTCAAGACTGTATTCACCGTACCGCAAAAGAACCCCTCAAAGTCTTTGTTTTCTGCGGTGTTATATGTCAGAAACCCCATATGCTTGGGGGTGCCTGCGGACATTAAGGGAGATTGTTCTTAGGGGTTCAGGGTTCGCGTCTTAGCCTGTAAGCCTTGCAGAAGCTCTAGCAACCCTATGTGCCCTGAACCCTACTTGGTGGTTCATGGTCTTATTAACCAAGTATAACTGTACTTATAACCCACCTATAAGCCCCTTAAGTGCCCTAATTATGGTTATAAGTACAGCTCTAAGTACAGTTAGAATTGGTTAAGAAGTACCACGAACCTGCAAGTAGAAACTCGTGGAGGCTTTCACGCAAAAGCCCCGCTCTCTTCTTCCAGGTGCCCCGATCCGGTCAGCGCGGCTACCACCACCGAACGGAAATCAACAAGCTGCTGGGAAGCACTTGATTTGAGGGTTTGGGGGGTGTTGGCTGCGCAGTACATGTTTCTGGGTTTACAGTAGGGTGGCGGTATTGGGTTTATTTTGCTAGGCCAATTCGATGGGATTGTACACGCGTAGTTGAGATTTGTCGTAGGCGCCAGGCACGCAGAAGACCCTAAACCGACCTCTATGAACCCTAAAGCTAAACCCTAAAAGCCCGTAAACCCCAAACCCTAAACCCCACAAGTCCCGAAGCCAGAAATAAGTCAACTCGGTACCCTGTCCCTAAACGCTAAGCCCGAAGCGGCCCTAAACCCTAAATCCTCCCTGAACTTTAGACAAAGCACCCTCAGTAGCCCGAAGCCCTGCAGGGCGAAACGCCTTCGCAGGGTTTAGGGTTTTAGGGTTTTAGGGTTTATGGGTTTATGGGTTTAGGGTTCAGGGTTTAGGGTTTAATATTTAGGGTTTAGGGTTTAGGGTTTAGGATTTAGGGTTTAGGGTCCCGTGCTGAGGGTTTAGGGCTTGGGGTTTGTAAAGCTTTGGGGTTGGGTTTTGGGTTTAGGGTTTAGGGTGTGGGGTTTGACGCTTTAGGGCCCTAAGACTTTAAAGTCTAAACCCCAAAGCCTGAACCCTCCCAAAGCCTAATGGTGTTCAGGGCTTCGGGGGAGGGTAGCGGTATGGACGTCACATTCCTGATGAAGAACTTCCGAGGTTGGTATATGTGCTGGTTTTGGGGTTTGGGGTTTAGTTGGGTTTAGGCTTTTCCCCGGGCTTCTTCGTTATACAGAGGTTTAAAATTACAATAAGTCAGCCCCTATTTCGGAACTCCCTTATGCCATTTCTGCAGCAGGAGAGCCTCAAGATCCAGCAAGGACCTCACCCTCCCCACCCCACCCTCTTCAATGCCGTCCTGGCCCCGTTTTAGCACCTTGAACCCACTACCCCGCTTGAGCCCAACGCCCTAAGAGGGTTCATAGGCTTCGTTTGTAGGATCTTGACTGGCCATCCCAGCCTCTTTCAAGGAAGATCTACCGCGTCGGCAAGTCCTTGAAGGCCGATCCCCGGAAAACCGTGAGGGGGGGTGGGGGGGGTGGGGTGGATCGGATTGCCAAAGCCAACCCTGAACCCTCAAACCCTAAACCCTAAACCCTAAGCCCAAACCCCGAACTTCAAACCCCAAATCCCAAACCCTAAACCCGAAACCCTAAACCCCTCCCCCCTGCAACCTAGGATCCCTGACAAGGCGTCTACCAAACCCTGCTAAACCGGGGTGTAGGGTTTAGGGTTTAGGGTTAGGGGTTAGCAGCCACGATTGTGGGAAGGATGACGCCACCAACGCGACCACGGAGAACGACCTGACCGAGAAGGCCTGGTTCACTTCGGTGCTTGAGGGCTTTCAGGGTTTAGGATTTAGGGTTTCGGGTTTAGGGTTGAGGGTTTAGGGTTTAGGGCAGGCCCTCGGGATTTCGTATTTTCCCTTTTTGGGTTTAAGAGGATCATGTTTAGGAATGTTTTTTTCAAAGGCTGGCCATCCTAGTTCAGGGTTTAGGGCTCAGGGTTCACGGGGAGGTAGGCAATTGGGGTTAGCGTACCGGCCTACATGCGAAACCTTTACTTGCAATGGTTGCAGATGTCTCCCTAACCCTAAACCCTAAACCCTCAACCCTAAACCCCAAATCCTAAATCCTAAACTAAACCCTTTAAGTGTTTCGGGTGCTGTTTGATGGAATCCTCAACCGCAAGCAGGCAAAAGCCTCGTTCAGTCCGAACCCCGAGGAAGATGTTCTGCAGAACAACTCCGTCCTGAACCCCGCCATCCTGTGCCATACAACCCCTCCATTTACCCTAAGCCCCAAGCCTAGACCCTGCCCAAATCCCTAAAGCCTAGCAACCCCTAACCCTCAACCCTAAACCCCTGAACCTCTAAACCTCTAGACCCCTAAACCCCTAAACCTCTAAACCCCTACACCTCTAAACCCCTAAACCTCCAAACCCTAAACCCCAACCCCGAAACCCCGAACCCTAAACCCTAAACCCCAACCCCGAAACCCTAAACCCTAAACCCCTAAACCCCTAAACCCCTAAACCCCTAAACCCCTTTGCAACAGGCCATCACGCCCATGGGCGGCTTCAGCCACTACGGTGAGGCACTTTTTGAGGGACTTGAAGGTTGAAAAGGGTACTTAACAGTCGGGTTTTAGTGTTTTGGGCGGGGTTTAGGGTTTAGGGTTTAGGGTTTAGGGTTTTTAGGATTTAGGGTTTTAGGGTTTAGGGTTTCAGGGTTTTAGGGTTTTAGGGTTCCTATAAGGAGGGTTACAAGTAGGGTAGCTATGGTGTAGCCTCATTTCGGGTCCTTGTCAACTTACACCGTCAAGTATGAGGCTTACTTTCCCTGTGGGGAATCTGGGGGTTATAGGGGTTAAGATAGTGTTGTGGCTTTAGTGTTCAGTTTTTATTAGTGTTCTGGGCTTAGCTCGAGTGGGGGGGCGGGGGGGGGGGTTATCTTCCTTGCAGCCAAAGCTCTAAACCCTACAAAGCCTTAGAACCCCAGAGTCTCAGGGCTCTATGCTCCCTTATCCCTAAACCCTAAACCCTCTAAACCCAGAACCCTGCATTCGTTTTGCCGTTTTTTTGTTTGTTTCAATCCAGGGCTCTAGGGCTTATGGCTTCCTAAAACTCTGTAAGCTCTAAAGAAAATAGGTACCTACCTGTTGTCCCATTTTCTACCCTAAACCCAAAAATCCTAAGTCAGTGTCTGGGGAGCCAGACTCCCCTATTCTCGGCATTCCCTACTCAGAGCCATCAGCAGAAACACCCGCAGGGTTTGTAGTTGGGATGTTCCCCGTTATTCTAACAGTCCTTAGTAGGGACTATAATGGGGGGCAGAATCCCTGTTAAGGACTGTCAGTATAAGGGGAAACATCCAAACCTAAATTTAAGAGCCTCCGGCTCAAGCCGCCGACCCCGCTGGAGCATAGTTGAGAGGTCTAAACCCGCTCGCATGGTTCGAAGATCATCCCAGCCTGCTCGGCAGAGTTCTGTGAAACGTTTGGGGGTGCGTAGCACCAAGACAAGCTCAAGCAGGTGGGGGGGGGTGGGGTGGGGGTGGGGGGTGGGGGGGGGTGGGTGTGGGGGTAGGGGGTGGGGGCTGACGGCGCCCCTACCCCCCTGTGCTGAACCGCCTGTTTACGCTGTGCGGGTGGTGCGGTCCTCCACGAAAAAATTGTGCACCGACCCCCCCTGCCCCCCCCCCCGCCCGCGTTTTGGGGGGGTAAGGAGGGAAAGCTCCTCAAACCCATCCAACACGCCGCCAAGGTCGGCGGACCCTTAAAGAACCTGAACCCTAGATCCTAAACCCTAAACCCTACACCCCAAACCCCAAACCCCAAGCCCTAAACCCTAAACCCTAAACCCTAAACCCTAAACCCTAAACCCTAAACCCTAAACCCTAAACCCTAAACCCTAAACCCTAAACCCTAAACCCTAAACCCTAAACCCTAAACCCTAAACCCTAAACCTTAAACCCTAACCCTTAAATGCTAAACCCTAAACCCTAAACCCTACACCCTAAACCCTAAACCCTAAATCCCAATCCAGGTGCGTGAGGACTGGATCATGCTGAAGGGCACCGTCATGGGACCCCGCAAGCGCTTGATCACCATGCGCACCCTGGTGTGCACTCCAAACGCCGCGCTTCCATGACCTGACTGGGCTTAGGGTTTAGGGTTTAGGGTTTGGGGTTTAGGGTTTAGGGTTTAGGGTTTAGAGTTTAGGGTTTAGGGTTTAGGATTTCATAGGTAAGCTTAGGGTTCTTAAGGGTTGGCCCTCCTCATGCATTGTTTAAGGGTTTGGGGCTGCACGGGTTTTGATTAAGGGTTTAGGGTTGCACGAGTTTTGATTCTTGAAAATGATTCTTGTAGAGACCCTCAAAAATAACAGAGGGGAGCTGAATCTAGCATAAGCCTTATAAACCCTAAACCCCAATCCCCCAGCCATGATCGGGCCCTTGAGACGTCTAGGCTGTTCTGCCCGAAGCCTCGTAAAGGTTTGGGTTGAGGGTTTAGGGGTTGAGGGTTTAGGGTTCAGGGTTCAGGGTTGAGGGTTGAGGGCTTCCAAGTTGCAGGAGAGGGTTCGCTTTCAGGGTCAGGGCAAGACACTGCCACATGCCGCCTGCTGCATGGATCGAACCTTCAGGGTTTTAGTAAGGGTTCAAGTGTGATAATCGGCCTAAAGCCGTAAACCTGAGACATGTTTTGCCGAACCGTAAATATAACAATCAAGAAGTACATGTGACGTCTGCGTTTGGATTGAGAGATTAGGGTTCGGGTTTATATAGGGTTTAGGGTTTAGGGTTTGGGTGAATGAGTTCATGGATTTATGAGTTGATGGCTTCATGGACTTATCGTGTTTGGGTGTGTTTATGGGTTTACGGCTCTTGGGGGGTTATAGGGGTTATTTTGTTTTTGGGTTTACGGATTTATGAACTTATGGGTTTCAGATTTAAGAGTTTCTGTTTTTCGGGTTATGGGCTTACAGGTTTATAGGGGGTTCTGGCGTACGCAGCCCTAAACCCTAAACTCTAAACCCTAAACCTAAACCCTAAACCCTACGGGGGGTTGCGGTGTAGGGTTGAGAGTGCTTCCGGCCGGGCCCACACCGGTGGCCATGGCCTCGGACAAGGGATGTGCAGCCGACGTCCTGATGCGATGCTTCGGCAGGGGCGGCGACTTCACCATCCGCGTGGAGGATTTGGGATTCGAAACGACCTAAACCCTAAACCCTAAACCCTAAACCCCAAACCCTAAACCCTAAACCCTAAACCGTCGGATAACTTTTTGTCATGACTGGGCACGGGGGGGTGGGGGGGTTAGGGCGCTAGGCTTCACACGCTGATGGGGAGATTCCCGTAGCTCACATCTGAAAGCCCAAAAACAAAAACTGACCCCAAACTCCGAACTCAGAACCCTGAACCTTTGAACCCTAAGTCAACCCTAAACCCCTTTTTCCATCTCCAACTCCCGCCATGGGACCCTGCAAGCAAGCTACATCCCAGTTCTTTTAGTGAGCCACGAAGGTACGCAGGGTTTCTAGGGGGCTTGTGGGGCTTATGGGGAGTTTAGGTTTTAGGGTTTAGGGTTTAGGGTTTAATTAGGATTTAGGGTTTAGGGTTTAAACCCGGAGGTCTATTTTTTTTTGGGTTTTTGTTTTTTGTTTTTGATTGTTTTTTGTTTTTTGCCCTTGCTAGTGGTACTACCCTAAACCCTAGATCCTAAACCCTAAACCCTACACCCCAAACCCCAAACCCCACACCCTAAACCCTAAACCCCAAACCCCAAGCCCTAAACTCTCAACCCTCAACCCTAAACCCCAAACCCTAAACCCTAAACCCTAAACCCTAAACCCTAAACCCTCCTAAACCCTAAAGCCTAAACCCAAAAACAAAAAATCGTAATTTAATTCTCCGGCCATAAACCCCCAATATCGCTCCTAAGCCTAGTAACCTATAAATCCTTCTTGAAAGCAGAGAGGATTATCCTTCGTGTCTTGATGTGCGTTTCTCAGGGGCTTACTTAGGCTCGTAGGGAGTATTCCGACTCGCCGTCCTAAACCCTATTTAACTCCAAAACTCCTACACCCCAAACTTCCTAATCCCCTAAACTCCTGAAACCCCTGCACTCCCAAACTCCTAAAGCCCTGAGCCCCCGAAGCTTCCAAACTCCTAAGCTCCTAAACCCTAAGTAGAGCTTGTAGGGATATGGAGGTTTCCGATATTAAGGGTGCCTTCTTGGGGCCCTTCTTCTAAGGGAATCCTACTATTTGGGGGTCGATTTTGGGGTCCCCGATTTTCCATATGAGCATGTGCCAAGAGAGGGGTAGCCCTTTGTACAGTCCCTACAAAAGAAACTTCAATCAGGGTACCCCTAAACCCCTAAACTCCTCAACAAAGAAGCTTCCCAAACCCTAAACTCCGAGAACTCTAAACTCCTGAACTCTGACAACCCTAAACCCTAAACCCTAAACCCCAAACCCTAAACCCTAAACGCCCTAAACCCGCAAGTAAAGCTTGTAGGGATTCTTGCGGCTCCCGGGGAGGGGGGGGGAGGGGTTCTCAGGAGCCTCTGGGCGATGGCGAGGAGACTTCAGTCCGCGAGTTCAAAGTGTCACTGGGGCCCTCTAAGGGGGGTTGGAGGGTTTGTAGGATTTGTAGGGTTTGTAGGGTTTGTAGGGTCTGTAGGCTTTGTAGGGTCTGTAGGGTCGGTAGGGTCTGTAGGGTTTGTAGGCTTTGTAGGCTTTGTAGGGCTTGTAGGCTTTGTAGGGTTTGTAGGGTTGCTAGGGTTGTGCAGGTTGCTAGGGTTTGGTGTTTATGGTTTGCTGTAATGTGGAGTAGACGCTGTGAAGGCTAGGATGCAGAAAGGGCTCGAAAGCTTCGTCGGGTGCTTTTGGGGCCTCTTATAATTATAGAACACGCAGTTGCCTTAACACGACATATATAGGTGTAGATATAGATGTAATCCCACCCAAACGGAGCCCCTAAACCTCAAATCGAGAAGCCAAAAACAATACTGAAGCAAAACAAAATCAGCGTATTATCGGCAAGCCCTTAATGCCCTAAACCCCAAACCCTAAACCCTCAACCCTAAACCCTAAACCTCGGACTTGGCGCACAAACCCTGAACCCTAATCCCTCAACCCGGTATCCTAAGCCCTACAACCCTATAATTGACAAGTGTCAGGTTGTCTGTCCTCCTGGCGCAGTGGTCGCCAGTCTTCGAGGCAGCCATCAACTCGAACTTTGCGGAAGGCTGCAAGAACCATTACGTGACTTGGCGGTTTGGGGTTTAGGGTTTGGGGTTTAGAGGCACTTAGGGTTTAGGGTCTAGGGTTTAGGCGCAAGTTGAGCTTAGGCATTTGAAGCTTGTTGTTTCATATACGGTCCAGGTCTAAGATATTGGTCTTCAGCTCGGGTGTAAGATAGTGGTCTTCAGCTCGGTGATCTTGGGTGTTTAGGGTTTCAAGCGAACGCCAACATCTTCTGGCTTGTTTCTTAATTATTCCTTTCTCCTACTATTTGCTTAAGAACCCCCCACCCCCCCCCCGCCCACAAGATGATAGATCACAATCCCTATACTACCCTTATAAGCCAGAATCTGTGTTTTCGTATTGTATTTGGTGGTTCTTGAGTTCTTGAGCAAATCGTAGTCTCAGATTGAGAGACGTGAGGACATCAAGGAATACACGGCGGCGGCCGTCGACATCTTTCTCCGGTTCCTGTACTCCGGGACAGCGGCCTTTCACTTGTTCAGAACATTTTAGTGAGACCACGCAGCAACCGTAAATCGAGCCTATAATTACCCTACTTAGGGCTTACTTGTGGAACCATTTACCTACTATGTTGGGGGGAGGGGCTATATTCAAGGGCTTATGACCTCCTGTTTTGTAGGGTTTGGGTGTCACAGGTAAACTCTACATTATAGGGTTCTTAAGGGAGGGGGGTTCATGAGGGGTAGGTACCTAGGGAACCTTAGGGAAGCTTCGGAAGCCTTGGCGAGTAGTGGGGGGGGGGGGGCATTGGGGAACCTTGGGGTACGTAACCCCCCTGTGGAACCCCACCACAAACCCTAAACCCCTAAACCCGAAACCCTAAACCCCCCTTGAACCCCCCTCCCTTAAGAACCCGATAGTTACAGCCTGAAACAAGAAAAGGGTGGGCTCCTCGGAAACTCGAGAGCTCCAAAACCCTCTCAGATATCAACAAGCCAGATCCCAAGCCGACGGGCCTAGGGTTGGGGTTTAGGGTTTAGGGTTTGGGGTTTAGGGTTTAGGGTTTAGGGCTTAGGGTTTAGGGCTTAGGGCTCAGGGTTTACCAAGGTGGAAGGTCCTCTTTGCACCCTGGTCGAAGTGGCCACGATGGCAGACTACTTCCAGGTCGAGCGGCTGCACGAGCTGTGCCTGGAAGTGGCGCGGAAGGACCGCGGACGCGAGTTGAGGAGTCTAGGCAGTGGGTTTAGGGTTTAGGGTTTGGGGTTTTGGGTTTTGGGTTTAGGGTTTTGGGTTTAGGGAGACGACCCCAGCTTCTAAGGCCTGAGGATTTTCGGCGGGTTCTGGCGGGTCCTATCATGGTGGTTATAAACCCCAACACAAGAATGAAGCCAAATCTCCCGATTCTTCAACATCCCGTGAGACTTCCTAGTTGAAGCTCGCGAACGCCCTGAAACCCTCACCCCTCAACTTCATGGCACTTTAAGACATGCTTGCCACCATACACCGTACGTAGAATTCGTGCTATAAGCTACCCCCAAACTTACGCCCTTCCACAGTTAAGTTGTGGCCCCAAACGTCAAACCCTAAACCCTTAACCCAAATGCTTTCCGAAATTCGTAGCTCTTGGTTTTCCTTTGCAGTTGTGAGGGAACCTATGCATGGCTAAACGGCTAAACTTGCAATGGGTTTCAAGCACGCCCGCAAACCATAACTGGGCATTTTCCCAAAAAAGGTGTGCTATCCCCCCCCCCCTCCCCCTCTTTTCGGAAGCCCCTAGATCTCACCCTAAACCCCAAATTCCGAAACCCTTAAGCCCCGAGGCCCGAGGAACACCCCCCCCCAACAGGGTACCCCCAAGTTACCCTAAACCCTAAACCCTAAACCCTAAACCCTAAATCTCTGCCAGGAGTTGAAGCCTGAGATGGCGTGTGAAGTCTTCGCGCATGCCGACCTTTGGCACGCAACCTGGACCGCTTGGGGTTCAGGGCTCAGCAGGGTTTTGGGTTTTAGGGCCTTACGAGGTTTAGTGTTTTAATGTTTTAGTGTTTTAGGGTTTTGGGTTTTTAGGGTTTTAGGGTTTTAGGGTCTTAGGGTTTTAGGGTTTTGGGGTTTTAGGGTGTTTAGGGTGTTTAGGGTGTTTAGGGTGTTTAGGGTGTTTAGGGTTTTAGGGTTTTAGGGTTTTAGGGTCTTAGGGTCTGAGGGTTTTAGGGTTTTAGGGTTTTAGGGTTTTAGGGTTTTAGGGTTTTAGGGTTTTAGGGTTTTAGGGTCTACGGGTGTAAGGGTTTTGGTTTTACGGTTTATGGTTTAAGACTTAGGGTTTTAGGGCTTTAGGGTTTAGGGATTCAGTGTTCAGTGTTCAGTGTTCAATGTTGGTCGGTTGTTTAAGGTTCATACAGTATTCCGAACCATTTGGGTTGATTTTAGCGACCGTCAGAATGGCCGTAGATCAGGTTAGGACTTGAAGCTTCATGGGTACTGGTAAGTAGGGTCCCAAGTAAGGTTGTAAGTACCCTGCACAGGTTTAACACCATTGTTACACTGTTTCTAGCCCTACTCAGAAGCACACATAACCCGAAACCCTACACCCTAAACCCTACACCCTAAACCCTAAACCCTAAACCCTACTTTGCCGCTTTCGGCCTCATTTGCCGGGCCTCAATTGGACAAACGAGGTTGCAGACCTGCGCCTCCACGCGCTGGAGCAGATCTTCATCCATCCCGAGGCCGCCGTTAGGGTTTAGGGTGGAGGGTTTAGGGTTTAGGGTTTAGGGTTTAGGGCTTTGGTTCCGCTAAACCGGATTATTTTGTTGTCTGTTTTTTGGATTTACGTTCGTCTATGGATGACAATTGAATCCTGGCTATGAATGCAGTTGAAACGTATACCTGGAACCTTCAACCCCAAGCCCTTGGGATGCAATCCTTAGCCCTCATACCTTAGAGGCTTAGGGTTTGGGGTTTAGTCGCCCTAAACCCTAAACCCTAAACCCTAAACCCTAAACCCTAAAAACCCTAAACCCTAAACCCTAAACCCTAAACCCTCCTCCCCAACCTCAAGCCCTCACACCGGAGTCCTGCGAAGGCGGCTTTGAAGGTGCGCCCTTCGCTCAGCCCGAGGCCACGGGAGCGATCCCATCTCTTACAATGTAGGGACTCCTCAACCCCAAACGGGTTCAGGGTTTAGGGTTCGGGGTTTAGGGTTTAGGGTTTCGGGTTTCGGGTTTAGGGTTTAGGGTTTAGGGCTAATACTAACGCCCTCAAGAACCCCTCAAAACCCCGCAAAACCCCAACAAAAACAGGCTGCTAATGGAGATCTTGGGCTCCAAGCTGCTGTGCATCACTCCGGACAAGCTGCCGCTGACATGGACTTATGGGACCCTAAACCCTAAACCCTAAACCCTAAACCCTAAACCCTAAACCCTAAACCCTAAACCCTAAACCCTAAACCCTACTTGAGGGTTTCAGGGATTTTGGGGGGTTTGGGGGTTGCAGGGCTTAGGGTTTCAGAGGAAGTTTGGGGGTCTGGGGTTTAGGGTTTAGGGTTTAGTGTTTAGGGTTTAGGGTTTAGGGTAAACCCAGGCTTTTTGTTGGGTTTTCAGGGTTTATAAGGTTTAGGGCTTAATAGGCTTTAGGTGTAGGAACCCTAAACCTCAACCCTTAACCCTTGTGGCTCACAAGTAGTTCAGGGGCTCTTTTGGGATTTAGGGTTGAGGGTGTAGGGTTTAGGGTTTAGGGTTTAAACCCTAACTAACCCTAAACCCTAAACCCTAAACCCTAAACCCTAAACCCTAAACCCTAAACCCTAAATACATCCCATCCGCCAAGGAAGCTGATGCTGGAAAGCTGGGGCAGTGGTAAGAAGAGGAAGGCCGATGCCCTGGAGCCCGACGCCTTGCAGCCCATCGTCGAGAGCTGCACCTTAGGGACCAAAGTTTAGGGTTTAGGGTTTAGGGTTTAGGGTTTAGGGTTTAGGGTTTAGGATTTAGGATTTAGGGTTTATACCCTCTACTGCCATAATTCCGATTCAGGTATATGAACCGCAAGCCCTTTCAGGGTTCATCATGTTTGTACACTTCTTATTCAGGCAATACGAACCATAAGCCCTTTGAGGGTTCATTTATGTACTTCCGATTAAGGTAATATGAACCATAAGCCCTTTGTATATACTCCCTATTAAGGTAATATGACATGAACCATAAGCCCTTTGTATATACTTCCTATTAAGGTAATATGAACCATAAGCCCTTTTTGAGGGTTCATGTCGTCTCCAAGGCATGGCGCAGCCGGCCAAAGTCCGGGCGCACCCCCAATTCAGCCAGGACATGCTCCAGTTCCTCTGGACCCGGAGGAGCCTTGGGGGGAAAAGATGGACCCTAAAATTGGGGGGGGGGGGGGGGCATAGACCCTATACTACTCTTATGCCTATTAAGGTAATATGGACCGTAAAATTGAGGGTCATAAACCCTTATACTACTCTAATTCCTATGAAGGTATCCCTAAGCCCTTTTAGGGTTCAGAATTCGGTCCCCCAAAAAGGAGAGCGAATGTGGAGAAAGGCACCGAGGTGCCCTTCATGGGTTTCTTCGTGGTGATGATCTTCTCGCGCGAGCAGAACTGGTTCCTGAAGCGCAACGGCGGCACGCTTGAGGATTTTGCTAGCAACTCGAAGCCCTTCCGCATGAAGAAGGGCTGGATTAAGTGGATGACTCCCCACACCTCCATCTACCTTACTGGCTTCTCCCTTTCCTCTGACATGCCGCCAAGCGTGCATTTTCAGATCCACTGCTCGCAGGACGGGGTCACCTGGCACCTGGCGGCGGAGTCCGATAAGAAGCATATTGTGGCAGGGACCTCGCTGAACCTCAAGAGGCCCACGCATCTTGTGAAGTGGTTTAAGCTGCAGGTCGTGGAAGGGGAGTTCTACAACGACTTCTGCATACATGGTATTCGCGCCGTTGACGACGACTAACTTGCCTCAAGGATGGAAGGAAGTATCCAGCAGATGACTGCCTTGCTTGTCCATCTAGTCAGAGACGCTCCATGCTGCACGATCTCTGTCACTGAGTTGCTTAGTGCCTAAGATGGCCAAGTTCTTACTTTTTTCAGGCAGCCCTCAGAAGAAGTGGCATTGTCTGCTGTGGCGCTTGCGAGAATCTCTTCACAAGTCTCTCTGATGCAGCCTTCGGGTGCTCCAGCGAGGTGAAAGTACTCCCCCAGTGCACCCTTAAGGCACCCTAAACCCCAAACCCTAAACCCCCCCCCCCCCCCCCCCCCCATGGTTTTCGGGGTCAGGTTCCCTCGAGGTTGCCTGAGAAGCACGGAAATCCACAAGCCAACCACACAAGTTTTTCAGGATGGGCGACTAGACCTTGTAGCCCTTCACAAATGGCCTTCACAGGTTGTTACCCTAAACCCTATACCTTAAACCCTAAACCCTACACCCTAAACCCTAAACCTGTTTATGGGGATTGTAGGGCCTTCTGGCCCATCCTGGTTGGGCCCTAGTAAGCAAAGCCTATAGACCCTCCATCGGGCTGGGTCTGTTCATGGTCGGCTCACTTTTGGAGGAAGTTCTTCAGGGTTTCGGGCGTGTAGGCTTTCAGCCTAAACCCTAAACCCTAAACCCTAAACCCTAAACCCTAAACCCTAAACCCTAAACCCTAAACCCTAAACCCTAAACCCTAAACCCTAAACCCTGACGACTCAGGCAAGTCGCTGCTGCCGCAGGTCACGCGCAAGGCGTTGGAGAAGGTGACTTTGAAGCTGCCTGTCTGGAACAAAGATTTAGGGTTTAGGGTTTAGGGTTTAGGGTCTAGGGTCTAGGGTCTAGGGTTCAGGGTTCAGGGTTCAGGGTTCAGGGTTCAGGGTTCAGGGTTTAGGGTTTAGGGTTTAGGGTTCATGGTTAGGGTTCAGGGTTTCGTGGTTTGGGTCCTCTGTGGCTCTTTACTGCAACCATATAGATCCTTAGCCTCTTGTTTTGTTTTGGGGGGGATCACTGTCTTTGTTTCCCCGTCAGGTTGCTAAAAGTTAGCATCTTAGCAAGGTGCCAAAGTGCAGCCAAGAGTTGGGGCAGATTTTATGAGTTTCCCTACTACTCCCTTCAAAACCACCCCCCACCCCCCCCCTCGCTAGGTTTCCCCTTAAATAACCTTCACTAGTCTTAATTATCCCTAAGCTGCCTTAATTCTGGCTTGATTATGGGGGGAACCTTGCCCTAAACCCTAAACCCTCAACCCCCAATAGTTTGGATTGAGGGTAGTAGGTGAACGCGTAAAATGTTAATGATTGGGGTCTGGAAGTCAGTTATCCACCATGGGCTCTCAAGGGGTGGGGGATGTGCAGTTGCAAAGAACCATGCGCCTGTAGACCCTAAAATCCTCCTAAGCCGTAAACCCTCCTAAACCCTAAACCCTAAAGCCTCAATAAACCGTTTTAGGGGCTCAGGGTTGGGCGCTTCGGGGGCGTTCGGGGTTTCCAGCTTACGGAGGCTTTGCATATTGAGGGGCAGAGGGGATTCAGACAGTAGAGTCCAGACCCTAAACCCTCAACCCTAAACCTAAAACCCTAAACCCTAAAACCCTAAACCCCAAACTCTCAAACCCTAAGCCTAAGCCGTAGATCCCCCCGAAAGAGCCCTGGCACTGACAATCTTGTGGGAACTAAAGCCTGAACCCGTAAGGCTCGTGCTGGTTTTAGGGGAGTTTTGTGGGGCTTTTGCAGAGAAGAGCTTGCCGCTCCAAAAGGAATGAAATGACCTCGGCACCGTGTGCTCCTCTAGGGTTCAGGGTTTAAGTTTTAGGGTTTAGGGTACCGACGACCGGCTTGCCCTACAATTAGCACTGGTAAGGGTGACCCGATTCCGTTTTTCTCGGCAGGCTACAGGGGCTTAACCGGTTGAGGGTTTAGGGTTTAGGATTTAGGGTTTAGGGTTAGGGTTTATGGTTTAGGGTTTAGGGTTTAGGGTTCAGGGTTTAGGGTTTAGGGTTCAGGGTTTAGGGTTTAGGGTTTAGGGCTTATCTGGGATCTGGGGCCCTTGGGCTCCCCCTTGATAGGTTCATCGACACATCCTCGAAGATGGGCCACGGCCGCTTCCAGACCAGCGACGAGAAGGCTAGCGTTCTTAGGGTTTGGGGTTTCGGGTTTCGGGTTTAGGGTTTAGAGTATGAGCTCATTCTTGGGAGCTTAGGGTTGAGGGGTTTGAGTTCATTGTTGGGTTTATGGGTTTATGGGTTTCTGGGCTTAGGGCTTTAGGAGGTTCGTGGGTGTTCGGGGTCTAGGGGTTTATGGGGGGGGGGTGTGGGGTATGCCGTAAAACCCTACATCGGTCAGAATGCAGCTTCGACTCAACATCCACGCAGAATCAAGAACAGGGTTTAGGGTGTAGCGTTTCGGGTTTAGGCTTTAGGGTGGTGAGTCCGCTTGAAGTTTAACTCGTCCCTAAACCTAAACCTTAACCCTTGCCTCTGGCAACCTACCCCCCATCCCCTCACACCAAACCGATCCTGTGACCTTCAACACTTAACCCCCCAAACCCCCTAAACCCCCCCCCAAACCCCCCCAAACCCCCCAAACCCCCTAAACCCCCCAATCCAAAGCCCCTCAAGCCCCTGACAAACCCCAAACCCCAAACGCCAAACCCCAAACCCCAAACCCTAAACCCTAAACTCAGGGCCTAGGCCGCCCCCCTACAGAAGGGGGGCGGCGCTTAAGCCCTTCGACCTCTATGGCGAAAGTCGACCCAGGTCGCTTGCCCGCCTCCTGCAGCCAGGAGGTCGGTAGCACCCACGATGGGCCCGGTACCGGAGCAGGTTCTCCCGGGGACCAGTACTGGTCCCCTTAATAAAGTAAATACCCTCCCCCAGCCCTTCGGTCTGGGGGGTCGCTGGCCGTTTCGGGGGGGGTACCCCAAGGCCCCAGGCCAGGAGGACCCGGACCCCTCACCACAGCGTGTCCAGGGACCAGGGGGCCTCAGGCCAGGCCAGGCGGGGGGGGTGCTCAAAAAGCTGATTTTGGTGTCTGTGAGCTTTGTTTGGCCCGCCTGGCCCTTCCTGGCCCCCCTGGCCCCCCCTGGCCCCCCCTGGCCCCCCCTGGCCCCCCCTGGCCCCTGGCCCCCCCTTGGCCCCCCCTGGCGCCTCCTGCCCCCTCACACGGCCCCTGGCCGCCCTGACAGTGGTTCCTGGCTGCCCCCCTCCAACACTCCAAACCCTTCCGCCCTTCCAGCATCTCCAGCCCCTCTAGGCCCGCCAGCAGCCCCCAGCCGCGCCCCCCTCCCAGGCCCAAACCTCCAGACCCTCCACTCCAGCCCCTCTAGGCCCTCCAGCCCAGCTCACCTCCAGCCCCTCCACCCCGCAGCCTCAACCTGCCGCCCCTCCTGCCCCTCCAGCCTCTCCAGCCCCTGCAAAAGTGGCCCCCCCGAGTTGGCCCGCCAGCGCCAAAGAGCCACGAACTTGGGCGTCAGCATCTGCTTTTACGTTTAGGATGACACGCAAAGCCTCAAAATGAAACAGGACTTTGCCGGCATAGGAATTTGCCGAGGTTTTCTAGCTAAATTTCCTTTTGAGTTTCTTGCACAACAGTTGGACCGCCAGCGCCACAGATCCGCGAAATTGAGCGCCAACGAGTTTTGCTCCTTTGGGCTTAGGATGACATGCAGAGCCACAAACTGCAACATGACGTTGCCGGCATACGAATTTGCCGAGGATTTCTGGCCAAATTTGCGTCTCAGCTCAAAAACTAAAAAGTTGGCCCTCCAGCGCCAGAGATCCACGAAATTGAGCGCCACACGGGAGTCTGCGACATGCTCCTTTTGGGTTTAGGATGACACGCAGAGCCCCAAAATGAAACATGACGTTGCCGGCATAGGAATTTGCCGAGGTTTTATGGCTAAATTTCCTTGCACGCTTATTGCATAAAAGTTTCCCCGCCAACGCCACGGATCCGCGAAATTGAGCGCCAAGCCCCTACCCCCACCACCCCTCCAGAAGCATAACAGTTAAAACCAGATCCCGCGGGCCTTAGGCGCTCCAGCAGCAACAGTTAAGCTTCCAGATATCTAGAGCCTTAAGCTTCAGCCCTCCCCCCCCCCCCCATCCCGCAGCCCTCCACCTAAGCTTCCCGGAGCACGGCGGCCTCAACCTTCCTCATCCTGAACGGGTTGTCCCGGGGGCCCCCCGGGACGGGTTGTCCCGGGGCCCCCCCGGGACAGGTTGTCCTGGGGCGTCCCGGGGCGTCCCGGGGCCCACCTGGGACAATTGTCCCGGGGCCCCCCCGGGACCCCCCCAGGACAGCTGTCCCGGGGCGCCCCCGGGACGCCCCGGGACGCCCCCAGGACACTGTCCCGGGGCCCCCCCGGGACGCTAATATTCGCGATTTTGAGCGTGTGATCGTTTCGCTTTCCGTGTTTTCGGAGGCTTTTTGTACGGTTTTCCAAAACCGACGCGGCAGCCAAAAACCGCCACTCGGTCCAGAACCCGTGTTTTTTGTTGTGTTTGCTGTGCTGGTTGCGGTGTCACGCTTTTCGATTCAGTAGCCACGCATATACGAACCAGCCAACTGCGATCCCGTACTTCCTGCCCGCGGCTGGCTTCGGGCCGTTTTGTGCCTCACGGCCTGTTTTTTCTCTATCTACTTTGGGCGTTTTTGTGTCGATTTATGCGTTTCCTTTAAGGTTGGGACGCAGTCTCCCTACAAAACCTCCTGCGGGTAAGTATGCTAGATGTTGTTTTGGAAAACGTTTACTGTCTTTAACTTAGGCCTTTGATTCCTGCCGCAGGAGGTTTTGGACGAAAACACGAAAACTCATTACATTTTTCCCGCCTCTGGGCAGCACCTAGCCATGCATGACTTTTTTTCCAGCCACCTGCCCAGCAGCATTGCACAGTCGTAGTGATGTGTCTCTGAGGTCGGGATGGAAGAAGGCCGCGCCACGCCGTGCGAGCCGGCTGCTGGCAGTGAGTGAAGCCGCCAGCCGCGCGGCGGGTCTTAGCTTTTTTAGAAGTCAGCGCAAGGGCTCGAAGAAAGGCCAGCTGCGAGCGCTCGCACGGGTGACTATATTGCTCAGTTCGAGCCGACTCTCGTTAAGATAGCATGCTTTGTTTTGCTCGTCTGCAGCCATTTGTCTACAGACAATAGACAACATCTATAAGCTCACGCGATTCCATTTCGTCTGCGCTCCTACGCTCATGTTCAGCAAGGGCAAGCACGGCAAGGGCAAGGGCTACACCGGTGCTGGCGGCACCTACTGGGGCGGCGGCGGCTGCATGGGAAAAGGCAAGGGCGCGAAGGGCTACGGTTACGGCGACCGCGATGCTTGGGCCCCGGCGTGGTCGCCATCGCAGCATCAGACACCGCCTGGCTATGAGGGCGAGGGCCGCACTTCAACACGTCGACTTCTTGGCCGCGACTCAATGGCCAAGAAATTCCTGCGGCCCTACGCGGCCTCTTCTGGCAACTTCCTGTACGGCGACGGCACCGATGTGGAGATGCTCGCGAAGACATGCTTGCGACAGCTTCTCACCACGGAGGTATCGGAACTATCCCGCCGCCCTGCATACGGGTTTTCCATGCTATCCACGACCCTTCGGGCTTTCGCGGCCGGCTTGCAGAGCGACGAGGCCAAGGCGTCGGAGGCCGCTCTGGCGTCACTCTTCCAAGGTAGCCAGGAAGGCAAAGCCTTCGTGGAACGTCTCGCGAAGACCGACTTCGAAACGGCGAAGCATCGGCCGCAAGACTGTGAGGATGCCTTCGAGAAGATCTTGACCTTCTTGAAGGAAAACAAGGCAATGCTCTACGAGCACTTGGCCCGCGCGGCTGCCCATGGAGCTCTGCTCTACGTTGGTGGACTACATGCCCTGGACGCGCTCATCAAAGCCGATGGCTTGGCAGCTTGGTGCTCGCAGGTTCCCTCCGACGAGTTCCTGCAGAAAGCCTTGGACAAGTGGAAGGCGGGCGGTAAGAAGCCGGCTGCCGCGGCCACGTTCTTGGTGGAGGCGTACAGAGCACGCAAAAAGAGCGAAGCCGCCTGGAAGCAAGGTGGAGCACTCATTCGCGGAGACGATTCGGACGATGCAGCCGACGATCGCGCCCGAGCACTCTCTTCGTCCTCATCTTCGGAGACGTCCAAGAAGCCGAAGAAGGCCAGAAAGTCCAAGAAAGACAAAGACGGTAAGAAGCGCAGGAAGAAGTCGAGTTCGTCCTCCAGCGAGTCCAACAAGAAGAAGGACGACAAATCCAAGAAAGACAGGGGCGGCAAAGATGACGAGAAGAAAAAGCAGAAGGACGACAAGGACAAGGACAAAGACAAGGACAAGGACAAGGACAAGAAGGACAAGGACAAAGCGCCTAAGGCCGACAAGGACCAGAACAAAGACAAAAAGAAGCGAAAGTCTTCGAGTTCTTCAGGGACGGACAACAAGAAGAAGGAACGCAAGTCTTCGAGGTCCGAAGAGCCGGCTGCAGCCGTCGACAAGATGAAGATCCACTTCGTCTCGGCCCTCGACCCGAACGGCGCCGTCGTCGCCGACGAGACGGACCGTGTCCATGAAGTCAAGATGGAGGACGATCTGACGGTCGAGGGTGCAGCGTGCTATGTCTTAGAGGACCAGGGGATGGCCGGCGACCTCGTCAATTGGACGGCCCATGTGCTGCAAGACGGCAAGTGCGTGCCCATTGCTGCAAGCACCACACCAGCAACCGGAGCCCCCGAGGTCGTCTTCGTGCGCAAGCTCGATTGAGGCTCCGATGCCATTTAGACCGTGCCCCGCACATGTCCCATGGCCGATCACCTCATGACGCTGCCGTACGCGCAAATTTGTCTTCCCATCGAAAAGTGCACGCAGTGCCTGCCCTGGTTGCTGTAGCCTAGGTAGTGCAAGTATGCCGTTCCTATGAAGGGGAGCAGAGGCGGCAGCGAAACGAATCTGCCGTTAATAGACTTGCGTGAAAAACTGTATAGCACATGTGTGGACGTTGGAAGTCCGGAAGCTTTCAAAGCCAGGTTCGCCTGCTGGTCAAGCGGTCTGTGTTCTCCAGATGACAATCCCGTACGTTTGCACTTGACTTGTCTGTTGCAGCATGCATACTCATCGCAGCCGTGATATATCGAGTTTTCG